TGATGGATTATATACCCATCATATGGAAAATTCATTGGGTTGCATAAGCATAGGGAGTCTATGACTGTTTAAATATGCAAGGGTCGCTAAAGTTGAGCTGCGGTTGAGAAGGGAAAAGCCCAAAATAAAGCAGCTGGATTAGGATCTAGAGTAAAGAAACCCAAATTAAATACCCAACATGACCAGGCCTGTAACAAAATAAAGCAAGAGTACTTGAGGAGAGAAAATCTTACAATTTTCATATATCTGTCATTATCTATTCAGAGATGAACTTTTTCTTTGATAGAATAGGTATGGTCGGAGATTCTTTGATAGAATAGGTATGGTCGGAGATTCGAACTCACGATMTTTTTAGTCAGATATTGAACCATGCTCATGTTGGTTTAGAGATAAACTGTCCATCTTAATATTTTTTATTTTAAAAATTGTAATTTATATATTAAATAATAGACTATCTTCTTTAAAAAAATTGAGTAAATTCAGACTTGCACGAACAAAAAAATGAAAACGTCTAATATATCTCTCGCGTTGATATACCATGGAAACGTATATGTCCTCGGTTATCCAACTAACATATTTATTACGTAACTCATTAATACATCGTGTTATCCATTTTTATTGTGAATTATATAATTGTGGAAGCGGAAGATCAAACCATCAATAATTGAAATAATAATAGTTGTTATTTGAAATGATGATTGGTATTTTGTTCATTGAATAATGTTCAATTTGATGTTACTATGTCAAATTAGTTAAATCATCGCTCACTAGTTAAAAACTGATGTAGTTAAAACCTTCTAAAAATTTAACAATTAAATACACGTGACACAATGACACAAAAACTTATGCAGTTAAAACCTTCTAAAAATTCAAGAACTAAATACATGTGACACAATCATCAATAAATTCTATGATTTAACCTTTTACTTAATTTTCGTTTTCTATATATTATATTATATATATTTTTTTTTATAATACTTCTCAATTAGTTAAAAATCTTTACGAAAAAAACAGTTAAAAAATTTCTCAAAGCCTAAATCGCTGGATTTAAAAGGTAAAAATTGCTTTATTATTCGAAGGAAAATATTTATCTCCTCGGCTGTAATCTTATTCTTGCTGCCACTACTCTGAATAAACAAAACGGCGACTAAACAAGCATATTTCAAAGTCGTTCTCTTTTGAGTTCTGAGGCTCATTTGGCCGATTTAAGCTCCGATATCAAGGCCATGAAATCCAAATGGGAAGACCCACCTTCTTCAACCGCCTTATTCGCCATTCTTTTCAGCTCCTTGGCTCGCCGTCTCATTTCCTCCGCCTCCCCCGAACCGCTCATGAACCGGCAAACCGCATTTTGAATTTTGTCCTTCGTAACCGTAGGAGTAGTTATGCTGAATCCTTCGTTCCAGTACTCCGACCCCACCTCAATCCCAGTTTTCAACACATCCACGATCAGCTTTTCGTTGTAGAAATGTTCTGCAAATAGCGGCCACGTAATCAGTGCCACGCCCGCGGTTACAGCCTCAAGAACAGAGCTCCATCCACAATGATTCATGAATCCGGCGACGGAGGGGTGATCCAAGATCAGCACCTGGGGTGCCCACCCCTTGATCAGGAACCCAACGTTTCGTTCCCTTATCCTCTCCTCAAACCCCTCCGGCAACCATTCTTCGCCTTTTGGAATATTTTCCGGCGGTCTGCAAACCCAGAGGAACAGCTTCCCGGAGGCTTCCAATGCCATGGCTATCTCCTTCAGCTGCTCCGCCGAGAATCTGACCATACTCCCAAAGCAAACATACAACACCGAATTGGGTTTCTGAGAATCAAGCCAGCTGAAGAAATCATATTGGTCTCTGTTAATGGTATTGTTCGATTCCCCGTTTCTAATTGATTTTCTACAGAACAGAGACATGGGTGCTACGGTCCAGAATTTCCCCCGTTTAACATTTTGGAAGTATTGAATATAAGCTGGCTCGAGATCTGAGAAGCTATTCATAATGGTTCCGTAGCTTCTAGTCTCTGCCTCTTCCATTTTCTCTTTTAGTAACGCGTACCCTGTTTTCGATTTCACCTCCCCTGCCAGCTGAGACCTCTTCATCTGAATCGGATCCGGGAGGCCGGGGACATCGAAGTTTTCGGCCTCGGACTCAACTTTGTCGTGAGGGGCGTATGTTTTGAGGCTGTGTAAGACGCAGCGAGGGAAGTAGCCGGTTGGATTGAAATGGACCCTCGGAATTCCGAGTTCCTCTGCCACATCCACCGTCCAGGGGAAGAACATGTCTGAGACGATGCAATCGGGGCGGTAATCGCGAAGCAATTGCTCCATGGGTTGGCGGAGAAGGCCAACAGCCATGAAAACTTTTCGATTCATTTCGGGGGAAGTGGTGGAGTTGAGATTTTCCACCCCTTCTGGAAGACCGACTTGTTTGCAGGGGAAATCGAGCTTGTGAACGACGATGTGGGAGCCGTGATCGATGTCAAGATTGACGGTGTTTTCGAACAAAAGGGCGTTGCGGTGGGTGGTGACGAGGTTGGCGATAACTCCGGCGTGGGCGGCGAATAGTCTGGCCGTATCGACCATCGGAAGAATATGGCTGGCAGTGTAAAAGGGGAAGAAAAAGATGCTGAAGTTTGGAGTTTCCATGGTGACGAGCAACTACTGCTAAGAATTTGGAAACTGGAGTTTTTGATTTTATAGTTTATCATCACTTTTGACGGTGGAAGTTGGAACCTGCTTTTCCTCCTCAACATCCAGAAACGTGAAAGGCGTGCGCCAAATTACAATGAGAGGTAGGTGGTCACGTGCTCCCCGCCCTCCATATTTTATTTTTATTATTTTTTTAATTTATGAAAACATAAATTATTAGATTTTTATTATTATTTGTAACAATATGGTTCATTGCCTTGCACAAGGTGTACATTAGTCGATGAGTTCGGTTTTCAGGACAAAACCGACTCGAAGAACTTTTAAGATTGCATCGATGAGTATTGGAGGCTGATAATGAGAAAAATAAAGCAAAGAAATCTGAAACGGCAGTGGAAGTAGAAAAATGGAGAAGATGTAAAGAAGGGAAGAAGAAAAAACGGAAGCGGAGAGGGAGAGGGTAGATCTTGAGAAATGGGAGATGAGAGAGGAGAGAGAAATAATTAAAAAATACAAAAAGTTCGGGTGGTTTAGAGAAAATCACGAGCGCTCCCGATGTTTCTCAAACCACCTTGGAAACCAGTTGAAATCATCGTCTCTTATTTCACGCTTCTTCCGTCTAGAAGTTACTGTATGTAAAGAATCTTTATTATTATAAAAAATAAGAAATATATCTATTTCATGTAGAGCCCACGTACATTTTCTCCCGTGATTATTTATTTTTTAATCTATTTACCTCTTCAATTGCTTCTCTGTTCTCAATTTTCATTTCTTTAATTTTCTCCCTTCAAACTTAAATTTTTCATTTTTCAATATTGGAACTTCATCAACCATTTAAATAATTTAAATGACTTTTCAATCTATTTTTAATTTTTATGATTCTTTATTATTTTTTTTTATCTATTCCATTTTAATCCTTTTATATATTTTTCATTTTTTCTTAAAGGCATAAAATGTTTTAATATATTCGTCTCACATAAGAAATAAATCTCAGTATGTTACGTTTAATTTTTTTTCCATTTTTGAAATTCATCATTTTTATGAATTTTATTATTGGATTAAAATACACTTGCTGATGAGTATCTTGATTTCCTATGCCTTGCTGATGAGTATCTTGACACCCCAAAGGGCAGCCTGGATTCGGATTGGGGGCATTTTCCACCATGTTTATTACTTTATAGTAATTAAGTTTCTTTAAAAGCTATATATGCTTCCAGTTCCAGCTATACCCCCTTAGTTCCTATACTTTTTTAGCACTTCCCAAAGCTTATTTATGTATGTATTCTATTTTACAATTGTTAATATAATTCTCAGTTTTCAGACATCAAATCCTTGAGAGAGAGAGAGAGAGAGAGAGAGAGAGAGAGAGAGAGAGAGGAGGTTCTCCATCTCTTTTATTTGAGATGGAAGGAACAGAAAGAACAGGCTACAGATGCAAAGATCTCATCTTACTTCTCCTAAATTTAAATATAGTAAAATACAAATTAAAACAAGTTTCATTTTCTCAACCTAACTCTCCATTATTCGTTCCATCTTATACTATAGAGTCGAATTCTGGAACCCTACTTTTCCTCCTCAACATCCAGAAACGTGATAGTCGTGCGCGAAATTGCAAGGAGAGGTAGCTGGTCATGTGCTCCCCGCTCTCCATACTTTATTTTTATTATTTCTTTAATTTATGAAAAATAAATAAATTATTACATTAAGTTTCTTTTGTAACTGGATTTTCTTTCTCCAATCAAAATCTATCAAACAGTTTTTCCTTTCTTTTTTCAAAACATCAAAATATGTTTGTGCAACAAAATTATTTAGGATCTAGTTCAGGTTGGTCAGCCATCGACAAAATCTTCAGGATCCTATCAATTGTCGATCCCACCTATCTGGACTTTAACTCATTTGTTGCACGAGCAAAAGAGATGAAATAGAAATAAATTAAAAAGAAAAAGACATGTTTTACATTTTTGTTTTAAAAATAAAGTTAGAATCAACAAATATCTAAAAAAGAAAAAAAAGTAGGTCGCTACATAAAGAGCTCATCTATGTTGCATTGGAATAGAATAAGTGAGCGGAAGAAATAAAAACATTATTCTTAAAATAGTTTGGGAATTATAAATTTTAGGAGTGAAATTATTCCATCAGAGATCAGAGTCCCACGAGTTGAAGCAATTAAAAATTGCATTATCTAATAAAGAAMCGACAACTGAAATTAAGATCTGATATATGAGATCCGAATAGGACGTGTCTAAGTCAGAGGGGCATGGTGTTTCCCGTGGCCCAGGGTTTGAATTTTGAGGTCCGATATCAAGTCCATGAGATCCGAATGGGAGGACCCACCTTGTTCCACCGCCCTGTTCGCCATCCTTTTCAGTTCATTAGCTCGCCGCCTGATTTCCTCCGCCTCCACGGAGTCGCTCATCAACCGGCACACCGCATTCTGGATTTTGTGTCTTCTCACCGTAGGAGAAGTTATGTTGAAGCCTTCGTTCCAACACTCCGATCCCGCCGCAATCCCACACTTCAACACATCCACTATCAACTTTTCGTTGTAGAATTGTTCCGAAAACAGTGGCCACGTAATCAACGCCACGCCCGCGGTCATGGCTTCCATAAGGGAGTTACAACCACAATGAGTCATGAATCCCGCGACCGAAGGGTGGTCCAAGATCTGGACCTGCGGTGCCCACCCTTTAATCAGGAACCCCCTCCTCTGTTTCCTATTCCTCTCCTCAAACCCCTCCGGCAACCATTCTTCACCTGATTCTGAAATATTTTCCGGCGCTCTGCAAACCCATAGGAACGGCTTCCCGGAGCCTTCCAACGCCATCGCTATCTCCCTCAGCTGCTCCGCCGAGAACCTCACCATACCCCCAAAGCAGACATACAACACCGAGTTGGGTTTCTGAGAATCAAGCCAGCTGAACACATCCTTTTGGTCCCCGTTGATACTATTGTTTGTGGCAGTGCTTCTAATTGATTTTCTGCAGAACAGAGGCGTGGGTCCAATGCTCCAAAA